GGGTAACCCCCTCGTTGGGCCGATGGGTCAGCTCTGCGCGAACGACCTGGAGAAGCGGCCAGAGTCGTGCCCACCGGTTTGCCTCCCCCTGGTCCCGAGGCTCGGACCCCGTCAGCGTCACGAGTTCTGGATCTGTACCGCCTCGATGTGTGAGGGCTGTCCTGTCGTGGTGTGTACATGTTTATATCTTGATCCAGTATATCTGTTTTAGGGAATATTAAGGCTCTAGTTCGTAATACACACATTCCTATTTATATGGGATATTACCCATCCAAAGCTTTGCAGTCAGTATAACTCTCCGTTTCTGACTGTTCCCGTGAAAACGCCGATCTTGAATACGTGGAGTTTCCGAGAGCAATCTTATGTTGCAGTATTCTGAAGAAGGCTTCCTGTTCTCTTTCGTCCCACTTCCTGTGCCTCAGGAAGCTCTAAGAGATCAAAATCAGTGTTAAAAAAAGAGCTCTTCTTTAGAGGAACCAAAGATAATCTCGACGTGATGGGCCTAACCTCCTCCTGATCCGTATTTCCGCCATTTTTCAGCGCGACACACTGAGGTTTGAGGTTTAAGGATGTCATCTTTTTGCTTTTTCTGAACGTTTCATTTGCCACTTCTTCAGAACAGCGGATCTCAGCCCTGGGCCCAGGGGGATCCTGTGTCTTGCTCCAGTCCAAGTTTAAATCGCTGAATAACTGATTTCAGCTTTCTGTTAAAAAAGGTTGTTTAAAGTTATTTTCCGAATTTTGATGCGGAGTCCACTGTGCTGAAGAGTGGGTTTCCGGACAGCGCTCGTGCAGTGGGTCAAGCAGAACAAGCACTCGGTCTGGAGTGTCGGTGTCGCCCCTACCTGCGTCTGGCCTTTGTAAACTACTTGCCCAAAATAAGGGAGCCGATTCTTCATTCGCGAGTTGGGGAGAGACTGCATGAAGTTAGGTAGGCCGCGGTTGTTGCCGATCATGTACTTTGGCCAAAGTGTTTTTGGAATGAAAGCCTGAGTGCAGAAGTCTGATCAAGTAAGCACCAAGAAGAGCCCAGCAGGCACAGCAGAGCCGGGTGGACGACTGTTGCTATAGATGCTGTTAAAGCCACAGTGCCACTAGTTCCATAAGGCCGCTGGAATGCAACAATTTTGAGAGCTTTAGTAAAAAAGAAGCGCATCTTGCAGTCATCAGCAACGGTGCGCTCTAAAAGACCGAAGTGTCAGGACATTTTTCGAATACAGTTGGATCACTGCGTTCCCACTGACCGTTGTGCTGTCACTGCAGCTGACGTGACTTGTTGGTCGGACCTCCCTCGCCCCATTCCTTCCATCCCATCTAGGATGTGGGAGCAAGCCTGCAGGGCACGTTTTCCCCCTTCGGATACTTGGCCTTGCAGAGCAGTGCTTCACTCGGCGACCTGCGCCAGAGTCCTGGGGATTTGCCGGCTCCTCCCCAGGAGGGATCTAATCCGAGAAGGAACGCGCTCCTTCCTCGCCCGCGGTGCCGCTACTCCGTGATCGGCGGGGGTGGAGAACACTGGAGCTCTCCCGGGAACAGTCTCTTCCAGGGAGCCGCGATTCGGCTCTCCTGCCGCTGGCTCTTGGTACTCCGGCCAAGACGAGACTTGGAACGTCGTGGGCGCCGGGCTAGTGCCAGCGTTTTCCCTGCGCCTGTAAGGGATGGAAGCAGGGCACACACTCCAGTGCTCCTAACGTGGGACGTGCTCTTCCTTTTGAGACTGGAGTCGTTGCCCATTTCAAGAGCCGGTGGCCCCGGCGCAGCATGGCCAACCTGTAGTCCTTGTCCCCAAGGTCAGGGTGGGGAGCTCTCGCCAGTGTAGAGCAGCTCGAGGAGAGGCTTGTTGCAGCGCTCTGCAGCTCGTTGGGTTGACAGCCTGCAGATGAAATGGTTTTCAGCAGTTTTTGACCTCGGAGCACTGGTGGAAGTTTGTGTGGTCGACTGTATTCTGCCTCTCCGTTCTTTTGAGCTGTGGGCCAGCAAACAGCTGCCTTATGGAAATGAGTCGTCCCACCCAGCAGTTTTGAAAGTTAAAGTCTAGGGGAAAAAAACCTCATTGATGTGCTTTTATTCACACAGCGGCTTCTCTCCTTTTTACGACTTGGGGCGATGCACACCAGAAAATGACACACTATGTCGACCTGCCTTGAAGTGGAGGGGGTGGGGTTTCTACAGTATTAAACTTTGTATTACTTGTGTGTTAGTGTGAATGTGTGGTGTGGTTTGTGGTCTCAGTTATTGACATCATGGAAAATGGTCTTAATAATATCTTTGCAGTAGTTTACCACTGTCATCATTTACTTTTTGGTCGTGTTCCAGCCTGCAGGCTGTTTTGTTGATTCGTGTCGGCACGGGCTGCCTACACTGCTGCCTCGCGATCACTGGTTCTGCCCCTCTCCTGCACTTTTGTGTCTGCAGGACGGAACTGGTCCAGACTCATCGGTTTCTGAGTGTCCCACCGGCGTGGTTCTCTTTACTTCTCCTCCCCTGCCCGTTATCAATTCGCTGGGCTCCCCGGGGCTCCACTTAAGGTCTCTGCCATGCTCGGGACCCTTAAGGTGTACCCCAGTTTCAGCACTAAGATTAGCGGTCTGCCATGTTTCGGGATGGCACCAGTCTCTGGCTCTGATTTCTCGATCCATTGCAGAATCCCACTGCTGACACCAGCGTCGCATCGGCCCTTTTCTTTGTGGTGTTAACAAGGTGGCACAGAACAGAGGTGCAGTTTTAATGGTTTCTGAACCGCAGGCAGCAACTGTAGAACTTCAGAACTACAAGCACACAACTGGCACACACATATACCAAACACAACCGACAGTTATTGCTACAGGGGTCACTACAGTATTGTTTTGATAATGCATTTATTGACATTGGAGGAAAGGTTTTGTATGTGTATTTAAACTTAGCCTAGCTGATATTGTTTTAATATATACTGTTTCTACAGAATTTAAGCTGAGTATTTACCGATTTTGTTACAAGCCATTTTAATCCAGGTCATCTTTAAGTGCCTTATTCCACTTTCTTAATAGTTATTTAGGTGTTACACTTTTTTCATTCGGACAGATACTAGCGGAACATTGATGGGTAAAAAACAACAAAAAATAGTAAATTCTTTGAAAGTGTAACCGTTTATTTAAGTTCTTTTGAAATCTTCTGGTGTTGAGCAAGTTAAGTTTTGAATATTTTGTTTATACTGATTTGGGTGTGGTTTTGATATACAGCATTAACATACAACTGCCTACTGTATTTTTTCTGTGGTCAGAGGTGCGGACAGCTCTTACTCGTCCGCAGCTCTGGGTTTATTGGAACAATCAATATCGAGTAATCTCAAACTCATGCTTTTTCCTGGAAATATTCACAGGGTGTTTGCAACTTTTTGTGCATGTGCTCTTTCATTCCAGCCTCTGAATCTGCCACAGTGCTTCGTAAGAATCATTGTGACGTAGTTCTGCAAAAAAAGAAATCTCTTTCCAGTTTTATAAATGCTGATTTTCTAGGATCTTGTGGTTCTGTGGTCAATAAATTGCTTGAATGACCACATGACTTAAGAGTTCAGGGCCCATAGCAGACCAGTTCTTTTTTTTTTATCACCTCCATATTAACTACACCTAGGTTTGGATTAAATGAGGCCATCTCTCCAATATCTCCAGAATCAAATGAGTATAACTGCAGCTGAATTCATAGAGCGCCGTTTATATAGGAGTACATGAGGCTCCTATAGAGTCAGGTGTCACAAAGTTGCTCATGATGATTTTGGGAACACAATAAAAAAGACATTTGATGCAGCATTTTTGTGCACAGTAAATAATTATAATAATAATAATTGCTTACACTTATATAGCGTTTTTCTGGACACTCCACTCAAAGCGCTTTACAGGTAATGGGGACTCCCCTCCACCACCACCAATGTGCAGCATCCACCTGGATGCCTAAATGAGTTTTGGGGTTGGACTCTGCCTGGGAGAGGTGTCTATTCGAATAAAGACTTCCTGTAAGGTTGCTGGTGTCCCACAGTGGGGGTCTTGAACTACACAGCAGTAAGTCACTGGTCTTAAACCGCAATGTGGTGAAGTGTGCTCAAGAGTGCGTTTCATTCTGCAGGCGGACACCAGGCATTAAACAATTCACTTTTATGATTACCATTCATTTTCTTTACCCATTTGTATCCATCTATAACCTTTCATAACTGTGCTAAATTTCATGAATAGTGCCATGTACTTGCCTTTGAAATTATAACGTGGTGTTTAAGTGCTTAATAAAGTTTGGTTTCCTGTTTATTCTGGAGTCTGTATTTTATGTTTTCCTTCCACCCACTCCAGCAGGAGAACTTTAATCCAAGCCCTAACAGCTCCATGTGTCTGGACAGGCTTGCTGTCTGCAGAAAGTGCAACACCCTAAATCTGGAGTCTTCGAAACTGTCAATATTCTGTCCCATAACAGGCGGTTGTGCTGGAAAACAATTCTAATAAAAAGCCACGTTTGAAATGAAAAGGGCATGCCAAAGAATGCCCTACCACACGCACACTGTGATGAGTGCAGAGATGTGTTCAGAGGTTTGCTGTGCTTTAGCATGCACTTGCTTAACTTGCAGGTATATAAGTGTAAGTTATATATATCGTATGTAGCTCTTTTCTGGACACTCCACTCAAAGCGCATTACAGGTAATGGGGATCCCCTCAACCACCACCAGTGTGCAGCCCCACCTGGATGATGCGCCAGTCTGCCCCCCACACACCAGCTCTCAGTGGGAAGGAGAGCAGAGAGATGAACCAGTTCAGAGATGGGGATTATTAGGAGGCCACGATTGGTAAAGGCCAGGGGGTAATTTGGCCAGGACGCCAGGGTTACACCCCTACTCTTTTCAAGAAACGCCCTGAGATGTTTAATGACAACAGAGAGTCAGGACCTCGGTTTTACATCTCGTCTGAAAGACGGTGCCTTTTTACAGTATAGTGTCCCTGTCACTACACTGGGGCATTAGGACCCACACAGACCGCAGGATGAGCACTAACACCTCTTCCAGTAGAAACCTTAGCTTGAAAAGGAGTCTCCCTTCCAGGTACTGGCCAGGCTCACACCTGCTGAGCTCCAGTGGGCTGCCAGCTGTGAGCTGCAGGATGATATTACAACGCCAGGCAGCTGTAGATCATGTGTTGCTCTCCATCCATCTTCGAACCACTTGATCCAGTCCAGGGTCACAGGGGAGCTGGGGTTTATCCCGATAAGCAACAGGTGCAAGGCAGGATACACCCGAGATGAGATGCCGGTCCATCGCGGGGCAGACAGACGCAAATGGACATGCACACACACCAGGGCCACATTTCCCAAAACCCAATTTACTTTTCAGGTTAATTTGGACTGTGAGAGAAAAAAAAGTGTGTGCACATCGAGAGAACATACAAACTCCCAGCTGATGGTATCCCAGCCTGGAATGACAGAAGGAGGAACTGAACCCAGGGTCCACCATAGCCAGGCAGCAGTGCTGACCACTGTACCTACGGTTAAACAATTCAATGTGCTTTCACCATGCTGTACCTCACTCATTCACTAAGCATCACCACAAACCAACAGACACAAGTGGAAACTAACAGGGAGTACATTTACAATTAACAACTGGAGGCACTGTACACCAAGGATGGTGGGGGTCTGGAACAAACTACCCACACGTTGTGCTGAAGCCAATGCCCTGGCTTCATAGATAAGAAATGGATGAGTTCATCAGCGCAATTAGCTTTGTCAAATCAAACTAGATGGGTCAAATTGTGTCCCCTTCTTTCTGTCCTTACAGTTTAAGGGATACCACCATTTACGAGTTGTAAGAGTCAGTAACCTTCACCAGCAGTTCTCTAGTTCTGTCCCCAGCAGCAGCTTTCTAGTGGTTAATTAGGTCTCTTTCAAATGTCAAAGTCAGAGAAGTTGCTTTTGGTATAAAATAATGAAATTTTGTGAATCACCTCAGGAAACTAAAAAAAAAGTGGTGCACAGTGGAGTAATAAGACACAAATCATGACAAATTCACCCAGTGACTCAGAGAGTACAACCACATTCCACAACACAAACTTTAACAGCGGGATAGGTCTTTAAATAAGTTCTGAAAAGGGCAGTCTCTGATGGATTTGGGCAGTGCATTTTACTGATGCAGAGCATCATGTACTGTGGGGAGCCTGGATTTGAGCAGAGTAAGAATCTCAAATTAAGATGAAGGATTGTGGCAAATGTTTCAGATAACCTGGAGTCATCTGTCTAAGATTTGAGTGGGAGAATAAGATAACATAAGATCATTTTTTTTAGCCATCTACAATTTCTTGCATTAGGAATTTGTCTTTTCAGAAACCCCAGCTTGCTCTCCATGAGACACACAGACAGGGAGAGAAGCTTGGGGTCAGAGCGCAGGGTCAGCCATTTATACGCCACCCCAGGAGCAGTTGGGGTTAAGGGCCTTGCTCGGGCACCCAACACAGTGGGATTTCTCTGCCAGCCATAGGATTTGAGCCAGCAAGCACAGCTACAAGCACAGATCCTTCACCACAAAGCCACCACTCATGCCTAAAGAAATCTCAGTTTGACAGCTGGGTTCGAACCCCCAACCTGAGGCATAAAAGGCACATGCTTAAGCCAGATTTCTGAGAATACTGTAGCCTATTCAATACTTTCAAAGATATTTCATTTGGTGAGGCACGACATTAGTCACTGATCGTGACTAAAAGGTAAGAATATTTCAGCTTCAGACAGTGTCTTAAATAACGTTACACGAGTGGAAGAAAGTTACGGTAATAATTATCCACAATTGGTCATCTTGATTGTTTAGCTCAGGTCTTCTGGTGAAACTACTTCGGTTCAAGAGGTCGTTTTGCGTCTTTCACACACGTAACCTTTTGACGGGGTCATTGAGATGTTATTACGAAGTTAAACCACAAGGTGGCAGTAAATGAGACAGCAGTAATCGCCTACTCCGAATATCCGTGAGTATCCGCGCATCCTCAACAGTTTTAAGAAACTCCACTTAAAGCACTTTACAGGTAACTCCACCACCAGTGTGCAGCCCCACCCGGATGATGCGACAGCAGCCAGAGTGCACCAGTACACTCCCCACACACAGGAGCTCAGTGGGGAGGAGAGCAGAGTGATGGAGCCAGTTCAGAGATGGGGATTATTAAGAGGCCATGATGGGTAAAGGCCAGGGGGAAATTTGGCCAGGACACAAGGGACCTGGGTTTTATGTCTCATCTTAAGGACGGTGGCTTTTTTCAGTAGATTGTCCCCGTCACTGTACTGGGGCATTAGGACACACACAGACCGCAGGGTGAGCGCCCCCTACTGGTCCCACTAACACCTCTTCCAGCCTCAGCTTTCCCAGGAGTCTCCCCTCCATAAGAAAAGACAAATCAAACGGCTTCAAGGAGCCACTTTTCAAAGTGAACTTCTTTGGCACAAATGCGCTTATAGTTTCACTGCCACGGCGCAAGTAATAGTTAAATTATATACTTTAGTAACGCTTTTCATTTTAAATAACGAGGTAAATCCCAGGCATGATAAAACACGAAACATACTAAATTCTCTACTGGTTTCCTTCTCTAAGTTAGATTCTTACTAGCAACCAACTGCTACAGGGCTGAACTGGCCATTCCAGACAAAACCGAGAACGACAGAGGAAACGCTCCCCGATTTTCTTTATGCCTTCTGATGTCTTTTTTGCAGATCTCTCCGTCCGACAGGCGGGTGGCGGCGGTGTGTAGGAACCAGCTCGTGTTTACAGGCTCCGAAAGGGCCGTGTAATCATTTTCTCTGAGTCACGTTTCCTGCGACTTCGGGCAAAGCAGATCCTCTTGTGTCACTCTGGGGGGATGACGAACTGGGGGAAATCTCTGCAGTGGGCTCTGTTGCATTTCCATCGGTGCCAAACGACAGGATTTTCTTGGCCTTTTTTTTTTTAGATATCATTGACCGCTCCCGCAGGTCTTGCGGTTGATCTCACTGTGTATCATCGGCGGCTTGACTCCGCCCTGCCCAGATCTGACAGATTAAAAAGTGGCGTTATCAGATTGAATCACATCTTCTTCTTTTTTTACGC